CACCACGGATCTTTGTAAAACACATTCAAGCTAGGCATCGTGGTGTGACCCTAGCTGAGGCAGGAGGATCTCAGCTTCAATCCCGGTCTGGGGAATTTAACACTTAGTGAGAGCTTGTCTCAAACTAAAAATACAAGAAAACGGCTGCTTAGTGTAAAGGCCTTGCTTTAACTGTAGGTACTGTCAAAATACAACACAACACAACACAGTACAACAACAAACCCCCCAAAGCCCAAAACACAATGTCCAGAAGTCGAATGTGTCTGCATATTCTAAGGATGGAATTTCTGGCCTTGTGATGTCAAATGGTCACCAACTGGTCACTTGTGTAGGTCCAAGTGAAGGGTTGGTAGTTTCAACCTATTTGAGCTACTTTCAAGTTTGTGAAAAACAGCTTAGGTAATTTTTACCACGTTGATCATTATAGCCAGTGTATTACCTGTAGCGACGCTAATGGGAGTATACTGCTTAGCTACGTGGACTCCACAGCGAGAGTGATAAAAGCAAATCACCCCCCACCACAGTGGTGCCACCTGAAATCCCAGCTTTCCGTGAGGATGAAGCAGGAGGATTGCCCAGTTCAGTCTGCCTGTGCAATTTGGAAGATCCTGTCTCACAATTAAATAAAATAGGGCTGGAGAGACAACTAAATGGTATCAAAATTTCTTTTACTTTTTTTGAGGTAGGGTCTATGTAGTCCAGGCTGGCTTTAAACTTGCTATGCAGCCCAAGCTGGCCTGCAACCTGCCATGCCTTAGCTTCTTGACTGCTGAGATTATAAACATGCATCACCACACCTGCCTAATAAATTACTTCAAAAAGTCAATAAAAGCCAGATGTGGTGTCACCTGTGTCTAATCCCAACACTAAGGAGGTTGCAGCAGGAGGAATGCAGAAGTTTAATGCTAACCTGGGGTAGACAGGGAGTTGCCGGCCAGCCTGGACTACATAATAACTAGGGCTCAAAAACAAAACTGAAACAAAAAATTAAAAAAAAAAAAGAAATTTTTTTAAAAAGTAGCCTCAGTTGATCAAGCCCCAAAGAGAAGAATTATTTATCAGATTCTTTCCTCTTTTTTTTGGAGGGGGGGGGCTGGCTCAGTTCACCCTGAAGGGGGGGTTGGCACAGCATGTGGTGTTGAGGATCGAACCACTGTCCCCTGCACCTGCCTAAGCAGGTGCTTTTAGACTACTGAGCTATCTCACCAGCCCTATCACATTCTTTCAATTCTGTCTTTAAATGCATATTGAAATTATATACACAAGTGTATCCCAAAATCAATACTTTTCATCTTTTTTCTTTTGATTTTATTTCTATCTCTATTTTTTAATTTTTTTGGCAGAATCGGGGATTGAACTCAGACCCTTGTGCTTGCTAGGGAAGCACTTATTCTACTGAGTCATCTCCCCGGTCCTGTATATTTTTAAATTTTATTTCTATTTCTATTTTTTTTTCTTTTGAGATAGGATCTCATTATGTTATTCCAGGTTGTGGCCTTGAACTCACTATGCAGCCCAGACTGGCCTTGAATTCTCAGAGATCTTCCTGCCTCAGTGTCCTAAGGGCTGGGATTACAGATATGCATGTGCTGTAAGACCTTGCAACTTTTCACCATCTCTTTATTTTATTTTATTATTTTTAAATGTATTTGGTTGTTACAGGGTTCTGCTACGCAGCTCGGACTTGTGGTGCTCCTCCAGTTTTCAGCCTCCCCAGCACTTGGGATTACATGTGTGTTTCATGCCTGGTCTCTATGGCCAGCTCAGCATGCCTGGGGGTGGGGCTGGTGTGGCATGTGGTGCTGGGGATCAAACCATGGTCCCTGAGCTTGCCTAAGCAGGCGCTTTAGTCTGCTGATAATTTAGCTATCTTGCCGGCCCCCACGTCTCATCATCTTAATGGTCAGTTCTCATGGTCAGTTCCAGCTCCCATCACCAATGGGCTACTGAAAGATCTCCCATTTGACCCACTGTGTCCATTTTTCACTTGCTCCATAATAGTGTATTCTCCCTGAAGTAGATAGGAAAAAAAACCTTTTAAATATAAATATTGGGCTGGTAGACTGCTTGCCTAGTATGTGTGAAGCTCTGAGTTCAATGCTCAGCGTCACTCCCCACCAACTTATTATTGTGTCACTTTTGGTGGAAATTCTTCCATTAAGTTCCCACCCTAGAATAAATGTGAACCTCTTCATAGCTCTATGGAAGACACACTACATCTGGCCACTCTTTACCTCTCCAAATGAGTTTATGGTAATTCTCAACTTAGTTCACTTTACTGAAGAGGTACTGGTTAAGTCAATTTTCCATAAATCAAATTTCCTGAGCATGGAGCGCTGTTGCCTGCCTGACATCCCAGCCCTTTGGGAGACAAAGGCAGAGTGGGAAGGTGAAGCTCATCTGGGGAATTTAGTGCCTGGACAAGAACCTGATGCAAAATAAACATAACAGTGCCAGTGAGATAGCTCAGTGACTAAGGGCCTGCTTTGGCAAGCACAGGGACCAGCCTTCAATCTCTGGTCCCTCATGCCCTGCCAGCCCCACCCCTGGTGCCCACTGAGCCTGTGACCAGATCCAGGCATGGTGGAGCACACCTGTGATTCCAGTGCTGGGGAGGCTGAAAACAGAGATGACTAGGAGTCCGAGCTGCGTAGTGAGACCCTGCACCAAATACAGAAATGGAAAAAAGAAAAAGAAAAAAGCCCTCTGGATGTAGCTCAGTGCAAAAGCTCTCACCTCAATCCCCAGTACCACAAAAAACCAAAACCACATTTTAGACAACAAATTAGTCAGTGATGGACAGCAACATAAGCCTAAGGAATTTCAAACACTGTAAGGATTCTTTCTTTGCTGAGTTTAATGCAGGAAGCATGTTTTTCATTCTGGGGATGCCAGTTATTAAAACCAGGGCCTCAAGCACTCTACAGATGCATACTGCCAAGGATGGATCTGTAGCCCCAGGCAGGAAAAAGGAAATTATTTTCTTTTCTTTCTGTTTTTATTTATTTATTTATTTTTCTGTACTGGGGCCAACGCATGAATTTTCTGCACTGAGCTACATATATTTAGACCTTTTCATTTTGTAAATTTTGAAACAGGACCTCGCTAAATTTCCCAGGCTCCTCTTGAAAAGGTCTCAGCCTTCGAGTGGATGCGATTAAAGGCACGCAACACCAACATTCCATACCTTTGGTTAGCTAAAATCCAAACATTGGCCTGATAAATACACTTTGAATATTTTATCAGCACTGATTGAATGCCCAAAGTAAAGAGATGATTTTTTTTGGCTAGTTATATATACGTGTATCCTCTCAATCTCTGTCTATACATACTACATATTTCTACATAGAGCGCCAGCCCATTGTGTATTTTCACCCCTTCCTTTGTGCTAAAACCTTATGAATACTGTATCAGTCAATCCTTTACAAAACCTGCAATCCCAGAGGCAGGACGACCCCCTGAATTCGAGGCCAGCCCGTACGACCCTGTCTCCAAAGCCAAAAGGAAGAAAACAAAATAAAAGGAAATATAACTGATGAAATGAAATGGTGAGGTCCAGATTAACACAAAGAAGATAGAAAACTGAGGTAATAGGCGTGGTTCTAAAGAGAAGCTCAACTGACACTGACAAGATTACCGCCGCGCCCCTTAGTCACCGCCTGCTCGGCTCCTGGACTGCCCACACCGGCTGGCCCGCGCGGCTCCGGAAGGTAAACACCTCGCGAAGGGCGTGGCAGAAGGCGGGCTGGGGCTGCGCGAGTGGCCTGCTACAATTGATTGGCAGCTGCCACGTCCACGTGCTTTGAGCTTCGAACCAGCTGTCGCGAGAATTCGATGTAAACAGACTAAGACTCCCTGTCCTCTGCCAGCAATCTGAGACGCTAGGGTGAGGTCGGCTGGAGCCTGGGACGTGTTGCTTTTAAAAGAAAGCCACCACGGTATTGCTTGTACATAAAATAGGCTATTCATAACTCGTCTCCATTTGGCTGTGTTCGTAACCGAATCTGACAATCGGCTTCACTCGAATTTACATACTGTTGTGTTTTTCCTCCAGCCCCAGCGGATTGGGTAAATCCAGGAGGCGGGGCCGCCTCTTTTCTACTTGTTGGTTGGCGAAATTGACCTCCAAGGGCGGTGCCCGGCCTCGGCCAATTCGCTTTTGGGATTGGCCAGCGGGGTGGTTCCGCTGAGGCGTGGTAGGAAGTGGTAGCTGTCAATCAGGAGGGAGACTCCAAACAGTGAGCCTGGAGCTGGAGAGCAGCGTTTACCGGCGGAGCGGCCGGTGAGAAGGCTGGCGGGTCTTTGGCTTTGGGGAACCTTGGGGAAGGCAAGGGGCAGGCAGTGTGAGGGGACAGGGCTTGGCTGGCAGTAGCTCGGCGGGGTAGCGGCATGGAGACTGGAGGGGGAGGGGAGAAGGGCAAGGGGCCAGAGGGCGGCCGGGGGCAGCGGTGGCTCCGCGTTGGAGGTTGAGTGGGCAGCGTCGCGGCGGCGTCTTTCAGGGAAGCGTGGCCTGAGGGGCTGCTGAGGGTCGCCGACAGATGACAGAGCCCTTAAAGGACAGGGCTTGGTAGACAGGCTCGGAAAAGAAAGGGTGGAATGGAAATGAGAGGGCCTGGGGGGCTAGGGGTGAAGGGTACCCCTTAAGGAAGGGTTGGCTGATCTAGTTAGGCAAAAGGTGTTTTGGTTGTAGGAAGTGGGACTCACCAGTTTGGGAGTTCTCATAGCAGGCAATGGAGTGCCCCTGCTTACAGGTGATGCTTTCAGGTTAGGTCCAGGCTGTGGGCTTTCTTGCGTCCTATAGAGATCTTTAATATTGCTGTTGGTCCTTTTTTCACCTTCACCCGGGAGAATGTGCTCTTTAAGCCCCAGTGATTCAGGGGTTCACTCGGGGCTCACGATTTAGGAATGGGATGGGAAAGGACAAGGGGCTTTGCACGTCTCGTAGGTTTATATTACATGTTTGTCTAGACTATTAGGCTGTAGTAGCCAAAGATTAAAACTAAAGTTTAATTGTGGCCATGCAGTTTTATTCATCGATTCTCAACAGGTTTAATAAGACAGAGCGATAGCATGTCATTGTTCCATTGTCCCTACCCCCCTGTATGAAAATTCTCTTTGTGAATGTTTTTTCATATTTTTAATTTTTTAAGAGAATTAAAAAAACAATAAAATTAGAAATGAAACAAAATTTCACTGAACAAGATAATAGGAATTCAACAGTGGTTGTTATAGTGCACATTGTTGTCTAAAAATTAGTTGCTGAGATTGCCAGACATAAGCATGCAAAATTGGGCAAAAAGATTAAAAAGAAGAAAAAATTAAGTATTAACTTTTCCTTTCAATAGACCAGTAGATCCATTTTTTGAAATATTGTGTCATATGTAATTTCAACATCTCTACAGAAACTTAAGTAAACTTTAAAATTCTGGCTCACAAAGGAAGCACGTTTATTTTTCTGATCCCCAGGTCACACTTCCCTCTTATGACGTTGTTCTCTTTCTAGTTTTTGTGAGAACAGAAAAGCCCAGCAAGTCTTAACTGGTTTTGTGGTTCCAAGGTTTAGATAAGAAAAAACCCTCATGATAATTTGAAAAGAAAATTTGTTTTAGAGACAAGAGTCTTTGTAGTCCAGGGTGGCTGTGAACTGACCATGTAGTGGCCTTGAACTTGCAGCAGTCCTCCTACCCACTGTCAAGTGCTGGGCTTACAGGTGTGTGCCACTATGTCTATCTGATAATTTGGAATTTTAAAAATTTACTTTTTTTCTTGCTTGTCTAGTGGAATAGAAATTTCTGGGAATGTTTCCTCAAATGATCTACATTGCATAACCACTAATATGTTTTTGTTCTGGAAACAGGTTTTATGAGTGAAGATATGGCTACAGATTCTCCTAGAAGACCCAGTCGATGTACTGGTGGAGTTGTGGTTCGCCCTCAGGCTGTCACGTAAGCATATTTCAGATAAGCCCAGTAGCTGATATGCAAGTAAATAACATTTGCATTTTCTTTTTGAATAGTGCTTAGCTTATAAAAATCTAATTTTGGCTTTACAGCTTGAATATCCTTGTCATGGCCAAATAAAAGGAGCAATTGGAGGGAGGGTCAGGTTGATGTATTTGGTATATTTAAAAGTCACTGAAGGGCCAGCCAGATAGCTCAGCGGATTACAGTACCTACTTAAGCAGAGTGCAGCAGCCAGGGTTCAATTCCCTGGGTGCCTTGCCAGCCTCGCCCCCGGGCGTGCTGAGACTGCAGTTGAGAATGGGCATGGTGGGGGTGGGCCTATAATCCCAGTGCTGGGGAGGCTGAGACAGAAGGATTGCGGAGTCCAAGCTGTATAGCAAGACCCTGTACCAAATACATAAATAAGATTTTAAAATATTAAAAAAAAAAAAAGAAAAAAATGTGATAGGGGCTGGGGAGATAGCTAAGTAGAATAAAAAGGGCCTGAGTTCAATCCCTGGTTCCGCAAAAAAAAAAAAAAAAAGAAAGAAATGTGATAGGGTACTTTCCTATTGTGCTTAAGGTCCTAGGTTTGATGTCTGGCACTATTAGTGCTACCATATATGGCCAGAAAGTGCAGGTAGTTCAGTTAGTGCTGTTTTGTGATGTATGGAAGGTTATGCCTAAAGTTACATGTATATGTATGATCACTCAATTGTGATTGATTGATTCTATTTTTCAAATTTCTTTTGGCGGAACCAGGGATTGAACTCAGGTCCTTGTGCTTGCCAGGCAAGTGCTTATTCTACTGAGCCATCTCCCTGACCCCTCAATTGTGATTTAAAATGTATACTTCATTCTAGGTTTTAGTCAGAATCTTTTTAGGTTTTTTTTTTTTTTTGGCGGAACCCGGGATTAAACTCAGGCCCTTGTGCTTGTCACGGAAGCGCTTATTCTACTGAGTCATCTCCCCAGCCCCATTTTTTAGTTTTTTGGTACTGAGGATTGAACACCCTAAGCTCCATTCCCAGCCTTAACTTGCTCAGGTTGGCCTGGAATTTAGTGTTCCTGCCTCAATCTCCCATAGTGGTGGGATTATAGGCCACCATGCCTGTTCTATATCTTAGACATTCTTTGACAAAAGATATTTATATTTTCTAGGAGTTTATAATCTGACATGGCTTAAAGAATTTTATGCTTGAAATTAGCTTAATTTTTTTTTTTTTTTTTTTTTTTTTTTGAGACAGGGTCTCACTATGTAGTTCGTGCTGACCTTGAACTCACTCTACCTTAGACTGATCTCAGATTTGCACTGATCCTCCTGCCTTAGTCTCCCGAGTGCTGGGATTGCACATGTGTACTGCCTCACCTGGTTAACTGAAGCAGTAAGACAGAAGAGATTCCAGCAAAATGGTGTGAGAATTTAGGAGTATTTTAGTAGTATGATCAGAAGAGGCTTAAGGTAACACTTTAGAGTAAATCTCTAAATGCTAAGTAGAATTTGGGCTTTTAGAATTGAAGGTATATTTTAGGCAAAAAAAATAGAGTGAACAAATGAATGAAAACTAAGCTATTTTTTATTTAGTTCTTTCCCCCACCCCAGAACTGAGGATTGAACTCAGGCCCTTGCACTTGCCAGGCAAGCGCTTATTCTACTGAGCTATCTCCCCGGCCCCTAAAATTTAGTTCTGATATAGAGAAGTTGAACTATTTGAAGTAGGTTTGGTGGACAATTAATACCCTTTAGTACCTGGTTAAGGAAGTAAAACTTTGTTAAGTGCATCCCCCCCCTTTTTTTTTTTTTCTTGAGACAGGGTCTCGCTATGTAGTTCAGGCTGACCTTGAACTCACTATGTAGCCTAGGCCTCTAATTTACTATAATTCTCTTGGCTCAGCTTCCCAAGTTCTGGCATTACAGGTGTGTGCCACCATACCAGGTTTGCGTTAAGCTTTTTGAAATGCTCTTAGTGAACTGGGTATGGTGGTACAAGCCTATAATCAATCCCAGCACTGGGATATGCCAAGGCATGGGGAATAAAAATTCTTAAATTGAAGGCCAGCCTGTGTAACTTAGTGATTTAGGAAGACCCTGTCTCAAAAAATAAAAAAAGACTTGGAAATGTAGCTCAGTATCAAGGCCCTGGGTTCTATTCCATATACCATAAGCAAACAAGCAAACAAATACATAAAGTGCTCTTACTGGGAGTTGTAATTTGGATTATTTCCTTTGGGAAGTTTAGCATATTACAAAATTATTATTCCCTCATACTAGCAAAAGTGTCTGTATAATGTAATATTTTATCATAAAGAATTTTTCTTTGTTAATTTCCCAGCACAATATTTCTTTGTTATGGACCATGGCAACAAGTGAAACATGTTATTACCTATGAGTTAAGTGCTATTTTTGATCTGTGTTTTACAGGTGAGGAAACCAAAGCTGAAGTTGTTCTAGGTAACAGTGAAGACAGGGGAGCCAGATCAGGCACAGGCAACTTATTTATTATTATTATTATTTTTTTTTTTTTTTATGTATTTAGTACAGGGTCTACAAGGTCTCACTACACAGATTGGACACTCCTAGTTATCCTCCTGTTTTTGGCCTCCCAAGTTCTGAGAGTACAGGCATGCACCACCATGCCCAGTCTCAGTCTCAGTCTCAGTCTCAGCGGGCCCTGTGGGCAGGTACAGCAGGCACACCAAGGATTGAACCCTCGGCCCCCGTGTCTACCTAAGCCGGCGCTTTAATCCACTGAGCTATCAGGATGGCCCCCCAGCTAGCTTTAAACTTCGGAATTTACCATCCTGTGTTAGCCTCCTGCGTAGCTGGGAGAACAGGGGTGTGCTTCTACAATGGGCTTAGGTTGCTTTTTTAATCTTTCATTCAGTGTTCTTTTAGCAGATAATGCCTGAGCATTTACTGCATGCCTCAGTACTGGCTACTTGTTTCTGAAAAAGAAAAGTATATTTAAGTTGCTTTTTTTTTTTTTTTTTTGCCAAACCGGGGATTAAACTCAGGCCCTTGTGCTTGCCAGGGAAGCACTTATTCGACTGAGCCATCTCCCCAACAGAAGAGTATATATAAGAGATAGATTCTTTCCTGTATTAGAGCTTGTATTCTAGTAGAGGCAAATAGTAAATAAGTAAATTAATAGTTACAAAATATCCTCTCTGCCCAGTGTGTCATGATGGAGACTGATTGGTGACTATGCATAATGTTGTCAGGAATGATTTCTCCAAAGCAATAGTTAAGCTGGAGATACTACCATTGACATATGTATGCATGTGTGTTTATTTATTTATTTATTTTTGCAGAACCAGGGATTGAACTCGGGCCCCTGTGCTTGCCTGGCAAGTGCTTATTCCACTGAGCCATCTCCCTGGCCCCAAAGTTTTTCTTTTCTTTTTTTCTTTTTTGTTGATACCAAAGATTGAATTCAGGACCTTATGCTTGCCAGGCAAGCGCTTATTCCACTGAGCTATCTCGCCCAGGTCCATGTTTATTTATTTCCAGGGACCAAACTGAGGACCTTGTGCTTGCCAGGCAGGTGCTTATGCCACTAAGTTATCTCCCCAGCCCTTATTTATTTTGTTCTGAAACAGCATCTCATCCATAGCTCAGGCGAGCTCTGAACTCACTATGAGGCCTTCCTGTGATTCTCCTGCCTTGGTCTCTTCCAGGAGTACACTGCCATACCCGACTAAGAGATACTACTTTGAAGGAAAGTATATGGAACAGTATTGAGCAGAAAGAATGATGTAAAGGCCTTGATTCAAAGAAGAGCTTGATGTATTCTAGGAATTGAGGTTGTATAGTAGTGAAGCAGAGTAAATTAGACGAATGGAAAAAAATGCAAGTCAGCGAGGTTCTCATCTTTCTCAATCTCTTTTTCTCTTCTATTTTTGTTTTTGTTGCCCGTTATTGAACCCAGGGGTCCACACGAGCTAAAACGTGCTCTGCTGCGCGTATCCCTTTTCCCCAGACTTATTGTTTGTTTTTATGCCTAAACAAATGTTGTCAGTCTTAAAGGTATATTGTTTGTTCTAAAATTTAGGATAATTCATTGTTTTCTAAAAGTCTAATTTTTTCATGAGATAAATTTGATTTACTGTGTTTTATTTGTTGTTTTCTCACTGAGCTACACCAGTAGCTCCTTTTATTTTTCAGTTTTAGACAGTTTTCCTAAGTGCTAAGTTGCTCAAGCTGGGCTTGAATTTGGGATCCTCCTGCCTGAGGCTTGCAGAGTTCTGGAATTACAGGCGTGTGCCATCATGTCCAGCTGATTTAGTGTTTTGAAGCAATTGTTTTTCTCCACTTGATGACATCCATAGACTTTCCATTTAAAATATTTCCCCAGCCTCAACCTGTGGGTGTGCCACTACTGACCTACATTCTCATTCTCTCCTTGTCCCCGTCCCAGTCTCTCTGATGTATATCTGTCTAGTGCAGTACTAGGGATCAAACCTGTGGACAATTTACCATTGAGTTATAGCCCCAGCCTTTTTTTTTTTTTTTTTTTTTTTTGAGAAGGGTCCATGCTACCCAGGCTGGCTTGGAAGTTATTCTTTTCCTGCATCAGCTTCCCAAGTAGCTGGGATTGTGGACTGAATTGGTGACATACTGGTCACAGATCAGGGACTCAGTTCCCAAACAGCTTAAAGAGGAGGTTACTAAATACCAGATCATTACTGAAAGTTTTTCTTGCTCTCATAGGGTGTTCTACTGCTCTGGTTCAAGAGGAAGGCGTTGCCTTAGCTGTGTCTACTGTGTTCATATCTTCAAATATGAGAGATGGATGGTACCTCTCGCAAATTAGGAAAAAGTGGCTCTTTTTTTTTTTTTTTTTTTTTGAGGCAAGTTCTCACTGTGCAGTTCAGATTGAGCTGTGTAGCCTGTATTGGCCTTGAACTCACAACCATCCTTCTGTCTCAGCTTCCTGAGTGTTGGGATTATAGGTGTGCACCCCCATGCCTGGCTAGGCAGGACTTTTTAAAAAGAGATGATATTTAAATATGCTGAAAGTTTCAAAGTGCACAGGCAGAATTATCAGGTGATAAGATTTGGCTTTCTTTTTTTTTTTTTCTTCTTCTTTTCATATTATGAATGACCTTGTTAGGGCTCGTCAGTAGAGCTTTCCCACGTCATGAGCTGTGATGACAGATTTTATCCATTTCACCTTTTTCCAGAGAGCAGTCCTACATGGAAAGCGTTGTGACTTTTCTGCAGGACGTTGTGCCACAGGTAAGTGTCTGTATGTGATTGCAAAAATAGTAGTCTTGACTTTGACTAGGGAAGCTCTGAAATGTTCTGTTTCTAGAACTTTACACTAAATCGTGTGAGCGACTCCAGAAAGTCTCCTGATACTTTTGTGTCCTGAGGATGGATAGCGCGGAACTGCACTTGTTACTGTGTAGATGTGCCACAGTTTGTGAGGACAGTGGCCTAAGTATGACCTCTTAAGACTTGCTATCTGAATAAGAAGGAAAGCAAGTTATTAGTCAACACTTGGGCTATGGGATTCTCTAGCTGGGTTCTGTCTCCCACACCTTTTTTGTCTAAGTTAAGAGAGCTGGGAATAAGGCATAGCTTTTTCTGAAATTGAATGTAAGTTATCACTTAGCATATTTTTGAAAATAATAACAATGTCCGTAGTTCTCTCCCTAGAGTCTGATGCAGTGAAATCAACGTGGTATCTAGTAACTTGTACTTTCAGTACAAATGTTAGCTATTTGCTCCTTGTGACGTCAGTCTTCTGACTGCAATAGTAATTTTTTTCTTTTTTAAGAGGTAGAATCTCATTATATAGTTCAGGCTGGTTGAACTCACTATGTATTTACTGTGTATCCCAGATTTGGGTTGAACTAGTGGTGATCCTCCTGCCTCACCCTCCAGTGTGATTACAGACATGTGTCATCATGCCCAGCTCTGCCATGATGGCTTCATATTTTAAGACAGGGTCTTGCTATGTAGTTCAGGCTGGTCTTGCACTGACTCTGTAGCTCATATTGACCTTGAGCTCGTGGCAGTGCTCCTGGCTCAGCTTTTCGAGTGCTGGTGTTACAGGTGTGCGCCAGCATGCCTGGCCTTGCCATGATGTTTTTAACTGCACTGGTCTAAAAGCACATTCGTAAGTCCAGTACTATGGACTTTTATTTTTATTCAGCAGTAGGATTTGAACCCAGAGCCTTCACACTGACCAATAGCCCCAGTCTTTTTTTATTTGTTATTTTCTCGTTAAAGTTGGACTTGTAATTCTCCTGCCTTAGACTTCAAAGTTGAGGGATTATGGGTGCGCACTACCATACCAAGTTGGTAGTTTTATGAGAGGGTCCTATAAAATAGAGTCTGAATTTTAGTTTTATTAAACAAAATGTATTCAGGAGGTAAGGGAAAGTACTAAGGAATATCACATTATTATGTTTTCTTATTATGTTCAGTCACTGAACATAATATGAAAGTAGGCTACAATGGCAAGATCTGTGGCACATGTAAGGGAAAAGAAATGCTCTCCTTTCTCGAGGTAGTTGCTTGACAAATCTGATTGATTGAAGCAATCATAGATTATTAGTAGCAGTGAATCAGTAAGCGTTGTGCATATAGCAAGCTGTATATTTAATTGGTAAAAGAATGCAGAGAGCTTTTCCTCCCGGGCTGTCTGAGGCTCCGTTGCCATCATGAATGACACAGTAACTATCTGAACCCGGAAATTCATGACCAACCGGCTTCTTGAAAGGAAACAAATGGTCATTGATGTCCTTCACCCTGGGAAAGCAACAGTACCTAAGACAGAAATTCAGGAAAAACTTGCCAAAATGTACAAGACTACACCAGATGTCATTTTTGTGTCATTTTGTTTGGATTCAGAACCCATTTTGGTGGTGGCAAGACGACTGGCTTTGGCATGATTTATGACTCCCTGGATTATGCGAAAAAAAATGAGCCCAAACACAGACTTGCAAGACACGGCCTGTATGAGAAGAAAAAGACCTCAAGAAAGCAGCGGAAGGAACGCAAGAACAGAATGAAGAAAGTCAGGGGCACCGCAAAGGCTAACGTTGGTGCTGGCAAAAAGCCGAAGGAGTAGATTCTGCAGTGCGTGTCTGCAGTGACTGCGACTTTGTTCACGAGAGGATTTAATAAACTGTAAAACCTTAAAAAAAAAAAAAAAAAAAAAAAAAAGAATGCAGAGAAAGAGATGAAGTTCCTAGAGATGGCTGAAGTTGCATTAATTGAAACGGAAGAGCATGCTTGGATGTTTGATTTTGAAGGAAATTGGCGAGCTGGATGCAGTAGGCAAGGGGAATTTCATGCCATGGAGTATCAGGCTTAGGGAGTGATTAGGGGCTGAAACACGTTGTTTTCTCTTAAACTGGGATTCTGTTTTGGGATTATAGTTCCAATGAAGTCTTATTTTTACATGTTTAAAATTTGCCCCAAGCGGGCCTCTTTATCAGATTTTCACCAAGATATTTTTTGTGTGACCCTGAAGCTTGAATGAAAAGTTGGAGAGTTTGCTAGTGGGACAGATTCTCTGAGTCATTTCTATAACTTGCATGCAGAGTAGAGGGGCTGCTAAAATTGATAGGGTAAAATTGCAGCAAATTAAAGATGAATTAAGGCAAGATAGCTCAACGGACTAAGTGCCTACTTAGGCAAGCACAGGGACTGGGGTTTGATCCCTGGCACCACATGCTGCGCCAGCCCTGTCCTCAGGTATGCTGAGCTGGCCACTGAATCCAGGAGTGGTGGTGCATGCCTATAATCCCAGCACTGGGGAGGCTGAAAACAGGAGGATCACTGTGAGTCTGAGCTGCGTAGTGAGACCTTGTACCAAATACATTTAAAAAAATGAATTTTCATGGATATGATACATTAGAGGGAAGATAGTATGTCAGTCTGTGTATTGGTTGTGAAGATTGGATCAGAGTAATTTACTCTGGAAGTAAATTACAGGCATGGATTGAAGAATTAGAATACTTATTCCACAAATTTATGTTGTCCCTTTTATGCAGGTCATTATTTTAGTTACTATACATAGTAAATGATCAGGAATCAAACATTTACTTGAGGCCTCACTGTAGGTATGGCCTGTGCTAGGGTGAGGAGCTGCCCAGTACCCTGCCTTGCTGAGGTCATTGGAGTATACTACTATGCCCAGGTCTACTCTTTTGTAAATTTTGAGATAGGCTTTCCCTGAATTATTGAATTGCCTAGGCTGGGCTCAAACTTATGCTCATCAGGCCTTGGACTCCCAGGGTGCTGGTATTACAAATGTAACCCCCTACTCCCACAGCCACCCTCTGCTTTTTTTTTTTTTTTTTCCTTTTGATACAAAGTCTCACTGAGTTTGGCCTGGCTTGAACTGGCTGGAGTTCCCTGCCTCAGCCTTTCAGAATACTGGGATTGTAACCATGTACCACCTTTCTGGCTAGTGTGAAAGGTTTGACTCTAAAAAAGAGGCCCTGAGGGCTGGAGATGTAGATCAGTGAGTGCTTGAGGCCCTGGTGTCCTCCCCCAGCCCTGCAAAATTATAGAGGTAGATAGATAGTCCAGAGCAGTTGCATCATGATTAATTAAGGAGGACCCATATAATCAGTAATGGGGGAGGAGAAATCATTTTGTATGGTGATGTAGGGACCTCGATAAAGACAGCAAGTGAGGGCTAGAGGAGTAGCTCCATGGCAGAGCATTGCCTACCCTATGGGAGGCCAAGGATTCAGCCCCAACACTGGGAGAAAAACAAAAGCAGGGTGGGCACGGAGTAAAAAAGCAATGTGCCACAATGAGAGTAAATAAAACGTGCAAATGGAGGCTGCAAGAAGCCGAGAGGTGCAGTGGTAACTTCTCTTGCTTTTGTGCGCACATGTAGGAAGGCAGCCTAGAAGCAGCGGGCAGGTACTTCAGTCAGCTCCCCAGAATTTCCTCAAAAAGAACATGTGTGCTAAAGCGTGAGGAAAACTTGAAGACAAAGTAAAAACACAATAAATGGAGTTATGAAACTTTATATATCCTTTTGGAGGGTAAGCTGCAGAGCTTCAAGCATTCCAGAACACACATGGAAGGCCTCCTTTGGTCTTGTTTTCTTCTGTCTATCACCCAGAAATCCTGAAGAGGTGGCAAAGGAATTGTAAGAATGTTGAGTAACCCTACAAATGATAAGA